TTAGGAGATGTGGCTTCGGGGATAAGTGGTGTCATTGGATTCAATTTTGTATATCTACAGTTTCTTTTTCAGTTATGGTGAATGGCGGTCCGGAGGGTTATTTTCGTAGTAGCGGGGGATTGAGGTAAGGGAATTCTTTGTCTCCATTACTATTTGTCATTGTAATGGAGGCTTTCAGCAGGATGCTTGAGAAGGCTGTAGGAGAAGGTTTGTTAAAGGGCTTTTATGGTTGATCAGCTGCAAGTATCTCATTTGCTATTTGCAGACGATACATTGATCTTCTGTGATGCAGATGTTCAGCAATTCAGGAACCTACGTCGTGTGCTCTTATGCTTTGAAGACGTATCTGGATTGAAAATAAATTTGGGAAAATCTGAGGCTATCAAAGTGGGAGAGGTCGATAATGTGGAGGAGTTGGCTGCTATTTTGGGTTGCAGGGTTGCAGAACTGCCTATGACGTATCTTGGTCTTCCTTTGGGAGCACGGTTTAAGAGTAAACATATTTGGAACAATATTATAGAAAAGATGGAGAGAAGGCTAGCAGGTTGGAAGCGTATGTACCTCTCAAAGGGCGGTCGTCTTACTCTCATAAGGTCCACATTGTCGAATCTCCCAACTTATTTCTTATCATTGTTTCCTATCCCTATTGTATTGGCAAAAATGTTAGAAAGGATCCAAAGGGAGTTTCTTTGGGGAGGTTTAGGAGAGGAGAGGAAATTACATTTGGTTAATTGGGGTGTAGTTTGTTCTTTCATAAGGTTAGGGGGTCTTGGATTGAGGAGAATCGTACTGTTCAATAAGGCCTTGTTGGGCAAGTGGTTGTGGCGATTCGGTGTAGAGAGGGAGAGTTTTTGGAGAGATAATAGGGGCAAAATATGGTGTCATAGAGGGAGGATGGTGCTCAGGTGAGAATCGCGATTCTTACGGGGTGAGCTTATGGCAATATATCTGGCGAGGGTGGAGCGATTTTCAGGATAGATTGACTTTTGCAGTGGGGGATGGTACTACCATCAGTTTTTGGGATGATTGTTGGTGTGGAGAACAACTGCTGAAGGTGAAATTTCCCTCTTTATCTCGTATTGTGTTGACACCGTCTGCTACGGTGAGTGATGTCTTAGATATACATAATGGGAGGATCAGTTGGAATATTGTTTTTGGTCGGGGATTACAGGATTGAGAATTGGATGATTATGCGCTGTTTTTTACTTCTTTGTACGAGGTTCGCATCAGGACAGGAGAGGCAGGCTGTAGTAGGTGGAGATTGACAAGGGATGGGATTTTCTCAGTTGACACTTATTTTAGATCTTTATTGGGTTTGTGCAGAGTTCATTCCCCTGGAAATCGATGTGGAAATGTAAATTCCCTCCACGGATTGCATTCTTACTTTGGACGGTGGTAAGGGGACAGGTGTTAACGATGGATAATCTATGAACAAGAGGTTTTTATGTTACAGAGTGGTGTTATATGTGTCGGAGGGACGGGGAGACGATTGATCACTTGTTTCTCCATTGTGATGCTGCTTGTTTACTGTGACACAATATTTTGGCATCACAACACATGGATTGAGTGATATCGAGGCGTATGGAAGACGTGTTAAAAGCATGGAGTAGAAAATTTCGCGACAAGGATTGCAAGCTTGCATGAGACCTTATTCCGGGTTCCATTGTTTGGTGTATGTGGAGAGAAAGAAACAGCCGCTGCTTTGATGATCAGACACGAACAACAGGGCAAATTAGAGAAATATTTTATTTCACATTGTATACGTGGTTTAATGCTGCAGCTACTAGGTATTTAGATGAACTGCCCAATTTTATGTTGTTCCTTTCTGCTTTAAATTGATAGTGATTAATAAAATATTTGATTACTTTAAGAAAAAAAAATTTAACCCAAAATGTATCCAAAACACTCGTCGAAAAAAAAAAGGAAAAAGCATATAATGAAATAAATTCATCAAAAAAAGAAAAGAAAAAAAATATTGCAATCCAGCGGTTCCAGTGGCACACCAGAAAGCAAACCATATTTGAAAAGGGGCACACCAGAAACCAAACCATATTTGAAAATTATACAAATCAAATGCTAAAAAAATTAGAAAAACTATTGAGAAGTATGAAGAACAGATTTCCAATATGATCTAATCAAATTAAATTCCTCAAACAATTAACAGCTTATTAAACCAATTAAACCATAAATATAAGTAGATATATGCATATGTATACAAAAAGGGCACGCTTCACACTCACACACACAGAGTACAGCAAAAGAGAATCTGAGTACTTGTTTTGAGGCTCGATTAACTGGGAGAAGAAAATGAAATTGGTCTAGGTCTGTAGAAGGCCAGAACTATATAGATATATACATACACGTATACATACATACAAGGGTGCGTGTGTGTGTTTTGGATGAAAAAAGGCTGAAATACCTGGTTAAGAGAGAGGAGAAAAAGGGCTGAAAGAATACCTGGTTAAGAGAGCTGAGATTTCATGGTAGATTTCTGGAGAAGAGAAGAAGAAAAATGAAATGAAATGCTTTGCTGTGAAAGCTCAAAAGGAGCTGCTCTTCGAGGGAAAAGGAAAGGGAAAAAAGGAAAAAAGGTTAGGGCTGCTTTAAGGAAACTGGATAATGAACAGTAGAAAACCGATTCTACATGTGAAAAGGAGATACTCGAAAATAAATAGTAATTGATGGACAGCCTCTTTTAAGAGAGGGGATAAGCTGCGAGTCCTATGAATTGGATGGATAAAAAAGGTAGAAGTAGATAAAAGTTGTGGGTTATATGGAATGTGTTGTTAAAAAATAGAGTTGATTAACTTATACCTCGTTCCAAAGTCGTGAGTTTTGCATACAGATATTTAATTTCAATATAAAACTTTTGAAGACTAAAGATAATTTAATCATTTGTCTTTCTCTTTTAACAGTTCAAACTTTTAGATGAGTTGGTTCGGTTTGGTATCATATCTTGATACAACAAAAAATGTACATTCCTAGTCTACTTGCTACCCACCCATTTATAAGAGTTTTGCGCGTGTTGAACCTTTGAGAAAATGATTTTTATTGAACATGTGGGCCCTGTTTGAGCTGCATTTTTGGGGAAAATGTGTTTTGGAATAATGATTTTTTGGAGAATGTGTAATTAAAAATAAGGAAAAATTTTTGGGTTTACCTGAAATTATTTTATGGAAGAATGTGTAGTTGAAATTGAGTTTTGAAAAAATGGAGCCAAAACAGAGGTTAAATTTGCTTCCTCTAACGACGTAAGAGGCGGTTTAACAAAAAGTATATTTCAAATAGATCAATTTGGTTTGAAGGCCTTATCTTGTACTGTAAATTTTGAATAGGTACTTTATTGGTTGGTAACAAAGGTTGAATGTTGAAGTAAGATCAGGAATTAAAGCAGTTACAGAATCCAATAGATTGTGTGGGGAGCCTAAGCAAATGTGCTATATTTCATTTTGGCATTTAGATCATATTGAGATTCTTGCTAGCATGTGGGACATATAGTTTCTATTTTTCAATAAATGCTTTAAAATGAAGTTTTTGATGATCTTCGTTCCTGAGCGTGGTTATGGGAGTTGGCTTACACACCATTTTGCGCCGGCTTTATAAATGTTCTAATTTAATGCAATTACAAATTCTCTTTAGAATATATGACAATTGATAAAATCATATCCTCATCTTGAGTTTTAGGCGTTGTCTTGGTTTAAAAAGGTGGTTGTGAGGCATGCTTTAAATTGAGGAGTAGGGTTTCCTCAAGGCACAAATTTTTTTGTTACTTTATTGAGGGACATACCTCAACTTAATGAGGCGGTCACCTTGAGGTAATGCCTCAAGGTGCGTGAGGCATGCGTTGCAATATTGCTGTTAAAATGATCAGAAGTTTTATTTCCTAGCTGGCCCAATAGTTACTTTTAATTGTTTAGCCTAAGCTATTTAATATTACACCCCACTCAAGGCAAACAAAACCTCAAAGCTTTTGCATCCTACTCCATGCCTCTACCCAATTCCCAAGACAAATTACCTTCACCACAATATTCTGGCAGCCACCTTTTGACACCAAATTGCCAACTACAATTTTTCTTTAACATTAGCAGCTCGAGAGACTTGTAAACCTTTTTCATTTCAACAGGACTATTGATTTGGTACTTTATTAATTTTTTTTGGCAGTTATTTCTATGGAGAATTTTTTAGATTGTTTATGATTTATTATAGGTTTATTTATTTCTTTATTTTTTGTTTGAGGTGAGGCTTACAATGTAAATTGCCTCGAGGCTTACTCCTCACCTCATGAAGGAAAACCGCCTCAGCACCTAGTTCTTCCTTTTTAAAAATTAGCCATTGGTGGTTGACATGTCACCTGGCGCTGTTTTAATATCGAAGTACAGTTGAGAACTTAATTAACTCTTGATGATTGAGTATGAAAGTACGTTGACGTATGAGAATAGGACATCACAAATATTTCTGCAAAACATGTTGATGGAGAATGAGAAGGGATATTATTTTAATGAGTATTTTAGTAAACATAATTAGTGATTTATTTAGAGTATTTTTCTACTTCAATAAGCATTAGTTTAAACCCTATATAAAGGGGTCTATGCAATGTAACTGGATGAACCTTTGATAATGAATAAACATTGATATTCTCCCTCAATTACTCTCTATTCTCGCCCCATTCTTCTCTCTCTTCTCCCTCCTTTCTCTTCTTCTCTCCCCTTTCCCCTTCTCATACAATCCTCCTCTTGCATTCGGCATCACATGTCTTCCGTGGAAATCAGTGAGAATAATTAAAAAACCTTCAATAATGGTTTTTTCAATTTCTTCCACTTTTTCTTCTTTCCTTTATCTGGTATTCCATGGTTACCAAACGCGGGTTTAGAGTGTGGTAACAATTGAATGAAAATCATATTTGGGATGTGCATAGGATGCATATTCTTTGCAATTCTGCTCCTTTCGCTTCATTTTAAGTCGTATTTACATTGTAAATTTCCTGCTTGATCCTTGTGCAGTGGTTTGGTGACGCTGAGAAGCTTACAAGGGCACTCTTCTCATTTGCTAGCAAGCTTGCTCCTGTAATTATTTTTGTTGATGAGGTGAGACCTGCTTCATATATAATATTGAATAGAATGTAATTATTGGCAATGTTGATAGGTTGTTATTTGTTCTTTAGGTCAGCAATTTTGTGTACTAGAAATCTAAAGAATTCTGGTATAATCAACTTTTTCTAAAAGATATTTTCCTACCTAAAACTAGCTGCAAAGTGAACTGTGAATGTATTTATGGTTATATATATATATGTTTTAGCATTAGTGTTGAAAGGCAAAATATCTGAGCTGGTTAGAGGCTTAATGGATTATCACAAACCAGTAATTCATTACAGTCGCCATGTCTTCCACAATAGTAAGAAAATAAGGAGCAAGCACCATATTCTCATTCTTTCTGTATTTTACATGGAGACGATCGAAAGGAATATTCATCGCCCTATAAATCCACATGCACTAATCCAAAATATAAAGCAAATGCACAGGTTCATGCATTTTAGTGTTTTTAGATGTTTCTGACTATCATTTATTGTAGCTATAAATTTTTACTTGCTATGACTGTGCATGCAGGTTGACAGTTTACTTGGTGCTCGTGGGGGTGCTTTTGAGCACGAGGCAACTAGAAGAATGCGGAATGAATTTATGGCTGCTTGGGATGGACTGAGGTCAAAAGACAGCCAGAGGATCCTCATCCTTGGTGCCACAAATAGACCATTTGATCTCGATGACGCTGTCATTCGACGCCTACCAAGAAGGTAAAGTTCTCATGAGCGAACATTAAGTGCTCGTTTGGTATTGTTCATAAGCTGTGAGTCTTACGGAAGTGTGGATAATATGTCGGTAGTAAATTGTGGTTCCTGTAAAATATGCAGATAAAAGTATGTTTTAACTGCTCAAGTTATAATTTTAAGCTTTGCAAACATGCTGTAAGTGTTATGTCAGATGATCAGCGTGCCTGTTTTGGAGAGAATTTTAAGACCTGTTGTTCTATATCATGCTGTCTTTAATTACAAATATCATCTCTTTAAAGAATGTTGGTTGCAAGAAAATGCTGTGCTGAAACACACTAGGCTGAAATGATGAAAAGTGAAAATGCTAATGAAATATGTATGGGCATTAGGATTTATGTGAACCTACCAGATGCTGAAAATCGTCTGAAGATACTAAAGATAATACTTGCTCAAGAAAATCTGGAATCTGGATTTTCTTTTGATCAGCTTGCAAATGCTACCGAAGGTTACTCGGGGAGTGATTTAAAGGTAATTTTCTGAATTTCATTATGAATTAGATACAATTATTGCTACTCAAGTGTATCAAGTGGTGTAATATTGTACGTCTGTAAACATATTTTTGCAGAACCTTTGCATTGCTGCAGCATATAGACCTGTCCAAGAATTGCTAGTTAAAGAAACCAAGGTAAAGGCGACACTGTTTGATCTATCATTCCTTATTATAGAATTTTTCTGTCCCAGATGGTTGCATTTCCTTCACTGTCTTTGGCTGGAACTGCTTTGCGAAGCTCTTATTTATTTTTAATTTTTTTCTATGATGGGGTACTTACTAATTTATTCTTTCACGAATTCATCACCACTCTTTTAGACAATATACATGGGAACTTAATCGGACTAAAAGTACTGATTCCTAAATTTGAAGTTCTTTTGTATTACTTACTGGTGGATAAACTTTTGGGCTGATTTTGACTAAATTTTGAACCTTGTATATGTTTGGGTAGTATTTATAAATGGTTTAAATTATAAACAGATAGAAACTAATGGCGGATAAATAGATATTACTTGTGGGTCCCTCAAAATATGTTGATAAAAAATGGTTGGAATGTTTATAATCAATTTATAAGCATGAGTAAAACATAGGCTAAGATATATCCTTTCAGTATGTTGTGAACTCAATTATGAAGTCCCTTTCTTTAGCAAAATAACTTGTAGAACAGCTAATCAATGGGGGTTACTGAGGCCTCCTAATGGATTCTTGAGTTTATCACCATTCTCAGAACAATATACATTTGAATATAATAGGACAGAAACTACTGATTCCTTAATTTGAAGTTCTTTAGTGCCACTGATTGGTCGATGAAATTGGATCTCATTTAATGCTGTTTTTGACTAATTTTTGAACTATTGCAAGCCACTTGCTTTAATTCATGGCTTTGCATTCTAGGGCTACTGTGTTGACTTATTGCTTGGGCCTCATAGGTCGGGAATTTTCCAAGGTCATCAATAGATCAAGAATTGAGATCTGAGTTGGGATCTTTTCCAGTTTTTCCTCCACATTCTACTCTGGCTTCTTGAGAGCTTTGTGCCGACTTGAGACCTAATCATATTTCCTATCTTAGCACATTCTTCTCCCTCTTCTTCTCCACTTTTCAATGCTATCGTCCTTCTTTCCTATGTCCAATAAACCCTTGGAAGTCTTTCCCTTATGGAAAAAGGGCTCTGTTGCACACTTGCACGGACACTCCGATTAAGGTTGCGTGTTCGTGTTCGACACGTGTCGATATCGACACTTTTCGAATAATCTACCATAAACATAATTTATTGTTTATTAAAAATATTATATATTTTTAACTCAAACTTATTAGTAAAGAACAAATAGGTACTTATATTTAAAAGATTTCAACAAAAGAAATTAATAACAAGTGTAAAACTAAATTTATACTATATAAATGAAGATTTTCAAAGATTTTAATCAATGTATTGGCGACATGTCGTGCCGATATTTTTTTGAAAAATCACGTATCGACTTATCTGACACGTATCATGTCGGACACATATATCCTTGTCGTTGCATCATGGAAAAAGGGTGTGGTTGAGATAATGTGTGGAAGTTTAGAGATAGTAATGGAAGTTTTAAAGGACAGAAATGTCAGGAGTGTTCATATGAAAGGAGTGAATGGTCTATATTTTCCTCTTTACCACTGTCAATAAACATGCCCGAGTTTCCATATTTTCTCGAATTTGCTGACCATTCTTTCTTCCTTGTTAATCATAATAATTTCCGCGTTTAAAATTAGTTCTCATCTCATTGCAGGGTGAGCAAAATGATGGTGTTCCAGTTTTGAGACAACTTAATTTGGACGACTTTGTCCAGTCGAAAGCCAAGGTAAATTATTCGAACTCTACTTTTAAGTGTAAACCCAGATAATTAAAAAATATATATACACCATTCAATTGAACTTTATAAAAATTTCCAGGTGGGGCCGTCCGTTGCATATGATGCAGCCAGCATGAATGAGCTGCGGAAATGGAACGAACAGTATGGTGAAGGAGGAAGCCGTAGGAAATCACCATTCGGTTTCTGAAATTAGTAGTAACTATATTTCGACATCTCATTGTCTCGAGAAGCTTAAACCTCAGAAACTTTGTATTTGTAAGGTAGAATCTCATTTTTTTCCCCCTCCAATTTAATTGGTTATGGTTTATGAGTATGGTAGGGTTCCTAATCAGGGCAAGGATATACGTATAGGCTATTATACCATTATTTATTAGTAGTTCTAGCATCGCAATCATATTACACTGTCATGCACTCTGTGTAACTATACTTTATTCTTACTTCGTTGTCTGAAGATCAAGATTGCAATGTCTTAACTATTAAGAGTATTAATAAGCATTTGAGTTTGTAATTTTTCTTATAATGTTGATGATCATAAACATGTGAATGCTTAGTTCAAAATGAGTCCATTATGGGAATAGTCGAGTCAGGACAGCAGTTCTGAACTCGTTCAGAGCAACGCATTGTCTAACTGATGCGTTGATTGGAATTTTTACATGTAGATGATTTATAGTGAAAGAAGGTTTTATCTTTTTTAAATTTTAGATAAATTCTTTAATATTATGATTTACAAATTTTACACTAATTTCAAAAAAAAAAAAAATAAAAAAATAAATAAATACACACACCGGATGGTTATATTGTTTATTTTGAACATGTTTGCCTATACACAAAAATTGACTTGGAAGTGGACGAGTAAGGAAAAATAGTATTTTTTGTTGGTTTAAGTAAAAGATAAGTTATTTATTTTGAAATTAATTTACTAAATAAGACTATAGCTACTTTCATGGAAATGAATATGAATATCAATTAGATTTATCGTATCATATTTGCAAGAATCAATACCCTGCGGAGGACGAGGGTAACTTACTGTGATTGGATATGTCGGGGAAGTCGAACTTTTGAGTCAAAAAATATAAATATGGGTAGAAATGACATGCGAAGGACGATCGTATAACTTATTGTGATTGGATATGTCGAGGAAGTCGAACTTTTGAGTCAAAAATTATAAATATGAGTATTAGTGGCTCATTGAGGTGAACATTTTTTAATTTATTCTCCTTTTTAAGTTGGTATTATTTTGTAATACAGGTAGTCCTCTATATATAATTATTGCAAGTGTTATCTTGGAAAGTTCTATCTAGGTTTAGGACTTCATTAGAAAAGGATAAATTTCTCTAGGGTTTCCAAACTTTTAAAATTGTAGAACCCATGCTAGCAGGAAATATTTATTTTAATGTTAAAAAGGTCGTACGATACTCACGTGATATTGAGTTTTATTGACGATGAGTTGAAGAAAAGGGAAGTACGTTTCATGAAAATGAGAAATCTAACCGTGTTCGAATTTCTAAATGAAAGTTACAGTCCACGTTTGAATTTTTTTGGAGTAACAATTTTTTTTTTTTTAATAGTTTTATCAATTTTAGACCGAAGTCACGTAGTCATTTAAATATTTAAATAGGACCATGCTAAATGTACATTTTTTTTTTTTACCTAATGCTTTACATACACTCACAATATGGGTTTGGGGACCACGTGTTGAGATTATTTTATTCACGCGGGGTCCACGTGCTTGTGAGAGTAGATAAACCATTTGGTAAACCAAATTACGTACCCTTAGAATTATCCATTTAAATAAACGTAGTCCTATTGATGAGGACATGGGTGCCATATTTTTAAATTTGGGAACATGGGTGTCACGCTTACAAAAACTTGAAGAATATAGGGAGAATTTACTCTAAAAAAAAAAAAAAAATGTAACTTAAGAGGAGTGTTTGGTGAGAATTAAAATTAGATTTTTTAGTGGATTGTAATAAAAGTTTTTGAAATGTGCGGTTGAAAGATGTGTTTCTTATTGATTGTTTGATTTTGATTTAGATTTAAATTAAAATAAGATTTTAATCCAAAACATGCACTGATTGTTTGACTTTGATTTAGATTAAAGTCGTATTTAAATCCAAAACATGCACTTACTGAAATATGTTTAAAAATTAAAATCTTATCCAAACATGGTATTAAGGTCTCCGGTTGGACGCCTTGGACTTAGACTATAATAAAACTAGCTCTTTCGTAATAAAAAAATATTTACCGCCACCGTTCATTTCAGCCCACATTTATTCTTTGTTCTTCACTTTAATCCCTCAAATTCTCCATAAACAACAAAATCCCCCCTATTCTGACTCCAAATTCTTCAGATCCTACCTGCAAAAACCTCGTAGCTCCGAGTAACAGTCATCACATAACAGTCGGCGTAATTCAAGAACTTCACTCTCCATAAAACCAAATACAAATTCAATGTCCATCTCTAGCGAAAAAGGCAAGTCGATAATTATATTAATGTTTTATTTCCTTATTTTTATGTTATTACATCTTCCGCATATTTCTTGCCTTGTTCTTGCATCAGATTTGGACCCATCTTCAAATTTAATTGAAAATGATAATAAAGATCATGCCCCTTTGATTGAAGATGACTATCAAACCAACCCAGATGTTAATTTGGTGAGAAAACAGCAACAACAATTGGAAAAACTTGAAGAGTTAGTAAAAAATTTAACTAAACTTGTTTCTCAATTAGAGGCCAAATTTTCTGAGATCCCGGAAAAATTTGAGAAGTTACCTCTGGTGTCAACTGATGATGAGAAAAGGGAAGTTGAGAAAACTAAAGAAGGGTTGACCGGGATAGAGAAAGTACCGTCAGGAGAGGGGCTGCGGACGGTGTCTGTGACGAAGTATAGTTCATTTTGGTCGGAGAGGTTTCAGTTTGTGTCAGCCGTGAAACTGGGGTCGAGTCCTAGTTGTATTAATGTATTGCCTTTTAGGGATTTTGAGGGTTTGAGCAAGTATGTTGCTGTGGGGGACGACAAGGGTAAGGTATATGTGTTTTTGAGAAATGGAGATGTTTCTGTGGAGTTTGATGCTTTGTCCGACTTGCAGTTGCAATCATCGATGATAACATCTATGGTGTCATACTTGTCGGTTTATAAGAATGAGAGCATAATTGTTTCGGGGTATGAGAGCGGATTAGTTTTTATGCATAGGGTTTGGGAGGTGTCAAACAGTGATGAGTTTAGTTCGCTTCACGTGGAGATGGTTGGAAGATTCGAGATCTCAGGAGGAGGTCGATCGAGGATTAATGTGTTGGAAGTGCACCATGTTGGGAGGAAAAGATACATTTTGGCTATAGATGGTAGTGGGAAAATTACAGTGTTCCGGGAAGATGGTACGGTTTATGGGTCGGCCGTTCCAAGTAGGCAGCCACTTGCATTCTTGAAGCAAAGGCTTTTGTTTCTTACAGAGACAGGGGCTGGGTCTTTGGATTTGAGGACCATGAAACTAAAGGAATCCCAGTGCGAAGGATTGAATAATTCTATTGCTAAGAATTTTGTTTTTGATGCCATAGACCGGTCGAAGGCATATGGGTTCACTCAGGAAGGCGAGTTGATTCACACATTATTGATGGGCGATATAGTGAACTTCAAATGCAGAATTAGATCAAAAAGGAAGATGGACTTGGATGAGCCTCTAGCCTTACATGCAATGAAAGGTTATTTGCTGATTGCTAACCAGGAGAAAATTTTTCTGTACAACCTGTCATCTCAGCATTATGTTTGGGCTGGTGGATTACGACTTTCTTTCTCTGTTGGCCTTGATGAGATCATATCATCTTTTCTAAATCAGAAAGTGGTCGATGTACTTGATGAAAAGAGGATGGCAATACCTTTGCTCACCAGTGACTATGAAAAGTTTGTTATTCTCAGTCTTGGGAATGGATACGTGGCAATCTATCGTTCCAACCTTCCATCGATCAAAAGTGAATTCAATAACATCCTATGGACGAGTCCTGTTTTGTTTTTCATTCTGTTTCTCTTTGGAGCTTGGCAGTTTTTTGCCAATAAGAAGGAGGCACTTACCTCGTGGGGCCCCGATGATCCTTTTAGTTCCACATCTGTCATGAATGGAGCTCCACTGGCTTTGGGCACAGGGGAGAGGTCTTTCATGGATTCTTCAAGAAACGTTGAGATCATGGATCTGAGAGGCAGTAGTCTAAGACCTTCATCGAGAAGGTTCTCTCCACCTAGGTACTCTGGGGGATCGGCCGGTCCCTATAGGCCGAGCTCAGATGCTGATTCTAGACCTTCTTCAATTGATCCCCGATTCAGAACACCCTCCGAGTTGAAATTTAGAGGGTCAAGTATTGAAACTACAATCGTTCCAAAAAGAAGAGAGGGCTTATATGTAAATAGTCAAGGTATAAACGATAGCAATTGACGGTGTTTTTTACCTGTGCAGTTGGTCCTGTAGACCATCTGAGTTTTCTGTAGCTGTGATTTCATAACATTTACTCATAGCGAAAGTAAAAATCTGGAACTTAAGCCGTTATTATCAGATATCTTGAAGTGTTGGTTCCAAAGGAAGGCAATTTTACTTTCTAATTTAAAATAGTTCTTTCGTTTTCCCTCTTTTGCTTCCTTAACATTGTAAATATCTGTAGTTTTCGTGGCAAAAAAGAAAGATCTAAAAAATCCCTAAATAGATAGAATGCTGGAAAATTAACCACTAAAGATGTACACCCGGCCAATAACATAAAAGGGAAAAGACAGATATGGCATCTTAAGGCTACGCAACCTGTCAAAATTTCTGTTCTGTACAGAAGCAGCAAATGGCTGTGCTACTCGCCCGAAATATTTATTGACAGAGATGTGGAGCTCACTTGCAGCATATTTGGTAAGAACTAACTATAATTTGTTTAAGAAAATTTAAAATGTTTTCTTCTATAACTATTTTTTTGTTTATTATGTAACTTGTAGATGCTGCAGTAATTATTATTTGATCTACATTCGGTATTCAGATCTACATGCAATCGTCATTTATTGCTGACTGATTTCCATATTTGCATATTGGAAAAGTATATGAACGTTTTGACAACAACTGTTTACTCTACATAAAAAACATCCTTCTGCGTTGTGTTTATGGTGGCTATACGAGTGTTTGATGTATTTTCATCTTCCATATAAGATGTCATTTGTGTACCAACAAATTCTTGTTACTTCAATCCCAGAAGATTTTTTCAGAGATAGATCATGATATGGTCGATTCATTGAATTTATGGTACTATTATGCTATTGTTAACTGCATGCATGCAATCAGATTCGTCTCTCGTTTTGTTATATAATGTCTCCATTGCAACATTATTCCCTTAATTTAAATGCGCACACACTCTCTTTTCCACTCAGAGACACACATTGTAGCCATAAATATGAATATGAGATAGTAAGGGACCCTTTGGCGAGGCTTTTGAAAAGTTAAAAATTGTTTCTAAGGATTCATTTGACATATCTTTTGCTTTCTACAAAAAGTATTATGAGGAAACTATATTAAATTTTTATTAAAAACTAATTTTTAAAGAGCTTCCTATTTTTGAAGTGCTTTTAAAGAAAGTTACATTGGATCATCTTCCGTTAAAAGCTCTTCTAATTTGTAGAAGTACTTTCAAAAAATTTGCCAAATGAGTACAAAAGCAGCTTTTTGATCTCAAAAATTTACTTTGACTTATCAAAATCTATGCCCCTAACGGGCCATAAGACTAAGAAGCTGCTTTTTTGGGTTTGCTTGGATAATTTTTGGTTAGAAGAACTTTCATAAGAACCTGGTTGAATGTGACTTCCTCGTGAAGTTCTTCAACAAATGTTAGAAGCCTTGCAAAACAGGCCCTAAACATAGTTTTGCCCCAACCTGTATTTAGCCAGTTTGTAGAAAATCTTGGAAAATAATGACTTGGGATTCTAAGATAGCAAAAAGCGAATTTGCTTCGCTTGATGATCTGCTTTTTCGCATAACCTAAAGGGGGAAATGTGTGTGAGAGAAATCGAATTTCCAGTTATTTCTTGAGTAAATGCTTCGTCCAAAATTTACACATCACTATATTGCAAGGCTAGAGAAAGATACTTTCATTTTTGTGCGTGAAATAGTGGATGTGCGCTGGTTTTGTGCAGGTAAAGTAAAAGCCATTTTATCTCTTTAATTTCTAATCTATGTTATCTAATGTCCATTTTTCTCTGTCTTCATGATTATGTTAATGTACTTTCCATTCTCAGAAGTTACAAATTTCCGAGTTTCTTCCTTTCTTTTTTAAGTTAAAGTAAGAGCTAACAATGAAAGAGACCCGTTGGTTAATTTGCATCCTAAGACATACCAATGCATGCTCATGTTTGACCCTTACTACTAAACAAATTTCATTTCTTCTACTGTGATGAAGGTAGAAATCTTATTCTTGGCTAATTGTATGTTGAATGGTAATGTACTTAAACATTGTCACCTGCTTAATCGTCGTAAAATCTTCCTACAGATCTAGCAATGAATTAAAACAATCGTCGAAAGATCAGTGCATATGCGTTTTAAATTTTATGTCTAGTTTTGTTCCGATGCATCATATTGTAACGTGCCTCTAGTGTCGATGGTATTAACCATTTTATGACATGAATCTTGATACACCTTTTATTGACACGTAATAATGGTATATCTTTTTATAGATTTAGGAATAAACTTTTTGTAGTCGACTCCAAATTTATTGAGACAAAGACTTGATTTGTTTTTGTGTTGCACGGATAGCTATTTGTGCAGAAGAGGGTGTACTTCAATCGTCACTTAGTGTATTTTTGGTATTACATATGCATCATAATTGTATTTCTAGTTTTGTTCGATCCATCGTATTGAACGTGTCTTTATTATCAATGGTAGTGATTATTTTATGACATGAGCAATAAACTGAATAGTGATCACAATGGTTAAAAAAGATGATGCAATCTTGACTCCAAATATATTGAAAAAGGAGACTTGATTTGTTGTTCTTCACACAAATACCATTTTTTGCTGACGATATCGCACATCAATCGTAGCATGGGAGTATTTTTTGTATTACATATGCATTGTTAATTTTATGTTTAGTTTTGTTCAGTCCATTGAACTTTAATGTATTATAATAATATATTTAAAATTTTAATGAATTCCCTTAATTACGTCAGTCTTAATTAATATTAATTTCTAACAATTATGGTTTAATCTCTGTTAATCAATAAGTCTAATCAAAATTTTCAGAATTTTAAAAACCTTCCGGCATATTTCAGGTTTTAGACCTCGGTTGAGCTTCAGAATTTAAATTCATTTTTCTCCCAAATCACTTTCAACAAGAGGTTTGTCGAAGTCCCCCAAGAGGTCACCGAATTTTAAAACGTCCCTAAATGATCACTGAACTGTGCCAAAGTCCTCCAGAGAGATCACTCAACGTTGCAAATTGGGACTCCATACATAACTAGTTTAGTGACCTCGCAAGGACATTTTGCAAAGTTCAATGATCATTCAGGGACGTTTTGAAATTCGGTGACCTCTTGGGGGACTTCGAAAAAGTTCAGTGACCATTCAGGAACATATTGAAGTTCGTTGACCTCTTAGGGGATTTTCTACAAAGTTCAGTGACCATTGGGGGATTTCCTCCGTTTTAGCCCTTGATATTAATGAAATTTTCGCTTAATTATTTCAAATTGATTTGCACTACAAATTGAAAGGTAGTCAGTAAAGGATATAATTGATAACTATAGAAGTTTTGTTTTTAGAAATAAAAAAACTTGTGCGAAAATGAAAGTTAGGCACACCGTTGACAAAAATTGCAGCAGTTCGACAAAAAAGGATGAATGTTTGTTAGCATGTTTTCGATTCAGATTTGTGGTGGGCGAGAATTTAACGAGATTGACTTTTATTCATGTATTATACGTAAAATAGTTAATTATTGTCTGTAGAACACACAATAGGGATGTTATTGCAACCATAAAGGACAAAGAAGACGAAAAAGAAAGGCACAATAAAGAAAGCACGAAACAGGTGCCGTATCTCACCAAAAGAGAGGAATAGGAAGCAGGCAAGCAGCTTATATAAGATGTTATTACGGCGAAAAAAAATTGGCCAAGCCCAATAAGTGGTTAAGTGCATTACTAAGTGGATCGTTCACCATACTCTATCCAAAGAGCCAAGAAATGGGCCATGAGCAACACTAATAATATTAGGTTGCTTCAAATGGTCCAAATGATTTTAGGGTCGAGTCGTTTTATTTTGAGGAGTTGACTTTTAGTTCAGTCAATTGGTCAATGCCGATTGAGAAAATTATATTGAGTTACATTATCGTCCGAAAAGTCATTTGACAACAATTTGTCCAACAAATCAGAGCCGGCCTAGGACCAAGCCACTTAGGCAAAGGCCTAGGGCCTCAATCTTGCGGCTTGGGCCTAGGGTCTCCAAATTTTGATGGCTCCCAAAAATGAAAGTAAAAGGGTAGAAATTACATGTAATACCTTTAATAATATAGTAATTCTTATAACACATCATATCATTTTTTAGAGTAAAAAGTAAAACACAAAAACTACATATAAACATTAAATTGTTCATATTGGCAGCACATATTACTCTGACAATGGAACCATAGTAAATTTCACAATACCCCGACTAAAATCTCCAAATTTATGTCTGTGTAATTTATTCAGCATGAGCTTTTGATTCCTATCCAATTGCTGCAGTCATTTCCTTCTCCTTATACATCAACTTGGACCTTTCGACTAATTATTGCATTTTCTCCATGCATATTCCAAAACCATCTGGCTTATGATTTTAGGAGTTGTTGATTCTCAACCTCTTGTTCTTCTCCTTGAGTGAATGCTATGAAGTATCATTGTCGTATACCATAAATAGTTTGCCTGCATTATTAGAAAATGATGGAACAGAAGCCAAATTTTGCACGTCAGAATTAAAATCCACTAATGACAGTTCACAAAGATTCCCTTGTGCAATGAAATCTAAGTGGTTTCCCACCATCGCTTGAAGTAAATTACAAGTCAATCCATCGCCTTCGAGAGCATCATCATTCGACAAAACATTAATATTAAATCCATCATCTGCCCCCTTCTTTCCTTTTCCTTCTCATCATCAATGTGACTAAACCTCTTACCCTCTACGACACCACAACTTTTCATGTGATGATCTCCTACATTGTTCTTCCCATCCAAAAGCCATTGCCCTTGCTACTTCACCTCCCGTCCTTGGATTTCCCAGCATCCATCATCTCTATATTCTTCACTACTTCCTTCTTCCCCACGTTTGTCCTAGCGCTAGCTCTAAAATTGTGGCTTGGGCCTAGGGCCTCATAATAATTAGTAGCTTAGGGCCTCCGGATAGTTACAATTTCAAAGTACCTAAAAGAAAACATTATCATCCATTAGTTACAATTCCAAAAGGAGAACTGATAAAATTGAAAATTATTTGCTTTCACTGATGGTTAGAAAATCTTTACAACTTCTAAAGTTCACCAATGACAATACTTTAGTGCCCATGTCTGAGGGTTTATATTGTATACGGACTTTTTCAAGTCTTACAATCTCTTGTGATTCTATATCACTAATGAAATGTAGTCTA